CTCGAGACCGCGCTCGAGACCCGTTGCGGGGCGGCGGCTGGAAGATCGCGTTGAAACCCGAGGCCCAGAAGTCATCCTAGCACTCCTAGGAAAACGACGGCGTTCAGGTCCCGCTGCGGCCGGACCCCCACCGAAGTTTGCCGCTCGTCCAGTCCCAAGAGAAGTGACTGGTCCAGTGTATATAGCAGTCAACAAGCCGGTCTCATTGCCCGCTTGCCTGCACACAACAGCCGTTTTCACGGCTACCCAGATAAATCCTTTAAAGAGCGTATTTTCTGGTGTCCCGGCCATCCCTACACACAAACACAGCCCCACACACAGGGCTCGCGCACATAAAATCGACCCAGATCGATTGCGCAACAAGCGTAGCAAATGTGCCCACGACTCAGTGCCCACTTATGCTACCTCCTGCACGTTTCACAGTTTCTGTAAAAACGAAACTGGCGTGCAGGCGCTCTGCCCAGGCGAGCGATGCTATAAAGGTGGTAAATGTGCCCGCTCCCCCGCGCCCACACCCACACACAAGCATCACAGTTCCAGTGGAACTCGTCCAGCCCTCTCTCTCCCAGTTAACCACTGTAGAGGGATCGAGCGCGGACATTCTGCCCGCTGTCATCAGCGCGGCCCCCGCCTCAGATGTTTTGAGCACGGCGCTTACGTCACAGCTCACCGAAGCCGCTGTATCGAAAGCCGATCAGAGCGCGCTTCAGCCCCTATCAACCCGTGCTGTTGCATGGGCGAAGCTCCCCGGAGTCTCGAAATGGGTGCTAAACATCATAAAAGAAGGCTATTCGCTGCAGTTTCGCCGACGCCCTCGCCGCCATGCGGCGCGCGTCGAAACCACAGTGGGCTCGAATGTAGCACACCTACTTCGAGCCGAAATTCAGAAACTGCTGAGCAAAGGGGCTATAGAACCCTTATCTCAAGCTCAGAGCGAAGGTTTTTATTACAGCAGATACTTCCTAGTACCCAAAAAAGACGGGGGTCTCAGACCCATACTAGATCTGCGGCAAATGAACAAAGTGCTTATCAAGCGCCAGTTCAAGATGCTCACAACCAGAAAAATCCTCGCGCATGTTCGCCAAGGGGACTGGTTTGTGTCAATAGATCTGAAGGACGCGTATTTTCAGATACAGATTGCGTCACGTCACAGGCGATTTCTGTGAGCAAGTACATTTACGAAGTGCATGGACGCAGCGCTCACACCCCTCAAACTCAGGGGCGTTCGAGTGTTGAACTATTTGGACGACTGGCTCATTCTAGCCCAATCTCACTCAGAGATCATGGAGCACAAGGCCATGTTACTGAACCACCTCGACAGTCTCGGTTTAACAGTGAACTGGGAAAAGAGTTCGCTAGTGCCCAGTCAAACCATTTTGTTTCTGGGGGTAGAAATGGACTCGCTGTCAATGACAGCGCGACTGTCACCTCAGCGCACACTGGACGTTCAGCGCACAGTCAGCTCCTTCCACTGCGGCGCTATAGTCCCTCTCAAGAGTTTTCAAAGGATGCTGGGTCTAATGGCCTCAGCATCTTCAGTCCTCCAGCTGGGCCTGCTGTGCATGTGCCCACTGCAGTTCTGGCTCAAAGAGAGAGTGCCTCACAGGGCGTGGGCAACCGGTCGTCTTCGCCTCAAGGTCGATCAAGCGTGTATCACAGCTTTGAGCCCTTGGGGGTCGAAAGACTGGTACCATTCAGGTGTAAGCCTGGGGACTTTCTCAAGGCTGAGGGTGGTGTCTACGGACGCATCCAATGCGGGATGGGGAGCGCTGCTCGAGGGCAGACCGCTTTTTGGCCTATGGTCAGAGCGGGAGAGGCTCCTCCACATAAACTGCCTCGAAATGTTAGCGGTGTGCAAAACGCTCACGCGTTTTCGCCCCCTGATAGCGGGGTGCCATGTTTTGATACGTTCGGACAACATATCAGTGGTATCCTACATAAATCGCCAGGGCGGCCTCAGGTCCCTGATGCTATACAGGCTGACCAGGCGCCTTCTGATTTGGGCGCGCAGCAACCAGCGCTGAAAGCAGCGCACGTGCCGGGTCGCCTGAATGTAGGACCAGACAGACTGTCCAGGAACTATGTTCCGACAGGAGAATGGTCTCTACACCCACAGACGGTACAACTACTGTGGAGGAAATTCGGCAGAGCGGATGTAGACCTGTTTGCGTCTCAAGAGAACGCTCACTGTCCAGAATTTTTCTCGAAAAACAAGGACGCCCTGACCCATTCGTGGCCTCGTCGTCCCTTCTATGCTTTCCCCCCTGTCTCCCTCCTAGCCCAGGTGGTGGAGCGGATCAGGGAGGAAGGATGCTCAGTGCTGCTTATAGCGCCACTCTGGACGAACCAACCATGGTTCCCAGCTGTGATGCAGCTAGCGAGCACCGCTCCCTGGCCAGTGCCTCTGAGAAGGGATCTCCTTTCTCAAGGCAACGGCTCGATTTGGCATCCCACCCGGAACTATGGTCCCTTCACGTGTGGGCCATCAACGGGTATCCACTGATCTCCCTCAGGGAGTGTTAAACACGATCGCGCAGGCCAGAGCTCCGTCTACGCGACGCCTCTATGCCTCCAAGTGGTCGGTATTTTCTGGTTGGTGCACAGCTCGTGGTGTGTCACCCCCGGATTGCGGAGTAACAGAGGTTCTCTCCTTCCTACAAGAGCTGCTGGATAAGGGCAGGTCCCCGTCCACGCTCAAAGTATATGTAGCGGCCATAGCGGCTTTTTCCGAAAAGACGCCTGGTCAGTTTATAGGAAGGAAGGATTTAGTCATCCGGTTCCTTAGAGGAGCCAGGAGGCTGAATCCTTCCAGACCTCCCACAGTTCCCATTTTGGACCTTTTTATGGTTCTGGAAGCCATGAAAGGTCATCCATTCGAGCCTGTATAGGAAATAAGTTTAAAACACCTGTCGTTCAAGACGGTGTTTCTTCTGGCTCTCGCTTCAGTAAAGCGCATTGGGGACTTACACGCGCTTTCCGTGAGCACTGCGTGTTTAGAGTTTGGGCCTAGCGACTCGAGGGTCATACTCAAACCTAAGCATGGTTATGTTCCAAAATCCCTTAATACATCTCTCTCTCCTGCTCTTGCATTTCTCTCTCCTGCTCCATCGCTCTCTCCTGCTCTTGGATTTCTCTCTCCTGCTCTTGCATTTCTCTCTCCTGCTCCATCTCTCTCTCCTGCTCTTGCATTTCTCTCTCCTGCTCTTGCATTTCTCTCTCCTGCTCTTGCATTTCTCTCTCCTGCTCCATCGCTCTCTCCTACTCTTGCATTTCTCTCTCCTGCTCCATCGCTCTCTCCTGCTCTTGGATTTCTCTCTCCTGCTCCATCTCTCTCTCCTGCTCTTGCATTTCTCTCTCCTGCTCTTGCATTTCTCTCTCCTGCTCCATCTCTCTCTCCTGCTCTTGCATTTCTCTCTCCTGCTCTTGCATTTCTCTCTCCTGCTCTTGCATTTCTCTCTCCTGCTCCATCTCTCTCTCCTCCTCTTGCATCTCTCTCTCCTGCTCTTGCATTTCTCTCTCCTGCTCCATCTCTCTCTCCTCCTCTTGCATCTCTCTCTCCTGCTCTTCTGTCTCCTCTGTCACAGACTTCTCCACTTGTGATGATGGATTAACCTGGTGTAACATGTAAGGATTGGTACAATTTGTTGAGATTTTGGGGAGTTCCTCAATAACAAGGTGACCAAAGACTGCATTACAATAATCAGTGATAAAATTGCCTAATTACTGTTTAATAATATCAAACATAAATGAAATATTATTATTATTATCAATATAACAATAATGTACCAAATGCAATATGTTTATTTTTAACCTTTAATTATTAAAGGTGTAAGGAATTTAGCTCTGGGAAATATTAATAATCAATAATAACTTGTTATGATTAATTATGAATATTTGGGTCAGTTAATTGAATTATCTTGACATGGCTAAATTAATATTACAATCAATTAATCAGTTCGTCCAACGAACTCTTTTGATTATTCATTTATTCTAAGAAAAGGGTATCTTTAGGTAAATAATCTAGGTAATAGGGTAAATAATTATTTCTTAGCATGTACAGCGCTTTGAGGCTGTAGCAAGATCAAGATCGTAAAAGAGACAGTGTTTGCAAGCAGTGAATCAGAACCAAATACATAAAGTGCACAAGTTTTATTAACTAAATCATAAACATGAATAAACTAAACAAACATACATAAATACATGTGTAGGAAAAAGGAGTGAGAGATGGAATGAGGTAACGATGGAGAAGATCCATCTAACTATGAGAAGAACCAACAGCATTTCATTTTCACATTTCATTGAATTGAATACTTCCATTTGTAGTGGGAACAATTCTTGAAGTTGTGGAAAATTGAAGTTGTTGAGGGTTCCGGTAGGGGCAAGTGGAAGTTGTTTGAAAGTTATCTTTCTCCATGAGCACATGAGGTTTGGTCAAGGCCCTGCTGAGGCCACGTTGAGCACCCAGGAGAAGGGAGGAAGTCGGAAGAGTTGTTGGTGGTTCCGTTCGTTGTTGGTTGAGAGAGTCTCCTCTATCACTTTTTAACGGACACCCTGCAGCCAATCAGAATCGAGTATTCACCCAGACCATGGTATAAGAACTGTTCAACGTATGAGTGTAATGGGAATAAACCGACTTCACGTGAACCAATTCCTGTAGTGTACGATCTGACAGTAGTCTGTTGCTTTCTGTAACATTAGCACATATAAAAGTGTCAAAAAGAAAAAGTTTCTAAAAATTTGTTTTTATATATAAATATATATATATATATATATGGCTGTAAGGTGAATTTTTAAATGCCCAAAAAGCATCAAGGTGTTGATTTAACAATATATATTGAGATTGACACTAAATTAGATATTTCAGACGCTGATATCCTCCGACAAAACACGTGAATTTCCCCGAAAATAAAGAAAATATGGAAAATATACTTTGAGTAAATAAAATGAAGCCTAGTTTTAGGATCACTGTACATATTTATGGTTTTGCATATTTATTGTAGTTGCAATTAAGCCCATTTTCCACAATCAAAGTCCTCATATAAAAAAAAAAAACTAGTTACTTTAATAGAAAAATATATTATTATAATTATTCATCAACCACTGGTAATATTGGTTGTACTTTAATTCAAAAAGAACTTTAAAATTACCGTATATTGTGATGAAAATGGTCCTAAAAATACAAGCTTCATTTTTTTTATGCAAAACATGATTTCTAAAATTCGGAAGTGACGTGATGCGGCGTGTTTTTGTGCCTTAAATTACATTATAGCCCCCCAAAACAAATGGCAAATAGTGTGCACATAACCCCATAATGAAGATATATAAAAATCTGTCCGGACGCCTCATCCTCCATTTACTGATCCTCACGATTCACCAATAACTCTTTCATTCAATATCCCTGGCTTCACAGTAGCCAATGGTTAGCCAAATGGTTGCAGCTCTTTAGGGGTTAAAAAGCAAGAAATGTGGTGTATGCTAATGTAGTGCTATTTGGCCAGATCTTCATTTCTCTCTCAAACAAAGACTGTAAACAAACATTATGGGTTCTCAATGGAAGGAACCAACTTCAGGACACTGTTAACCGTCTTTAAAAAAAGAGTTAATATCCGTTAGTCAAAGGCCACAGCTCGTCCAATAGCACGTGTTTGTCTAAGGGAGACGGGGATCAATGTTTTACTACATATTTTGTGAAGTGAGTAAAGTTGTACTGGTGATTACGATGGAGGAAAAGTTGAGAGATGAAAGCCGGGTCTCGTTTCTCCTTCAGAAACACAGTTTGGGTGGCGTCAGTCTCTAGAGAAGTGAGCATTTTCTGCCCCTCTTCTTGACCGGCGGGGGGCACAGCACGGCCCGGATGGCCTCGTCGAACACCGTCTTCAGCCCGCGCTGTGTGAGCGCCGAGCACTCCAGGTACTTCACCGCCCCTGACACACACACACACACACACAAGCACTGGTTCAGGATAAACATCTTCAAAGATACTTCATTTTCACGAAATTACCAGATTACTCAGTGCCGTTACAGTGTTTACTTCCTTTTTATTCACATATTGATATATTTTTAAACAATTAAATACTTTATTTATGAAAAATACTATAATAGGATTGCAGATTCAAGAGGTTGCCATCTAAAGTATAAGCATGCTTTTTCTAATTTATTTATAATTTATTAAATATTGACTAAAATAAATATTTTATATAAATATATATATATATCGGCTTTATATCGGCCGCCCTGCTCTCTAAGATATCTGCATCGGCCATCAAAAAAACAATATCGGTCGCCCACTAATTTAGAATTTGTGAAATACACACTGATGTCTATGGAAGCGGCAATAATAATAATTTCCATTATAATTAGACGACACGTTTTATTCATATCAGATACACATTGTGTGAGTAACTTTAAAGTTAACTCTATTCTTCTGCCAGTTCACCAGCCACTTAGTTTCATGTATTTCGGGAGAAGTTGAGGAACTCACTTGTTGGCGGCGGCACCCATCACGGATACAGCTCAACTAACGCGATCGTTATACAGGCGTTTAAACAACAGAACACCTCCACTTGCACATATTTGACAATATCAGATATTTCATGCCATAGCTAACAATTTTGTGAATATTTTGAATAAAAATGGAAATAGAAGCAGACCAACAGTCATTCAGCGCTATTGTGTCATGTGACAAGCAATGTGCGTCACCATGGACGCAATAAAGTGATAAATAACGGTCACCTTCACGGGGGTCAGCCAGGATATGTTGAATGTACGTGTAAAAATGTTAAATATGAATAATACACAGCCTGTGTTAATTTTTTTTTATTAAGTACAGTACTTTTTTTTACTTCATATTTTAAGTACAGTACAGTTTTTATTTCACTTTTAGGTGCAATACATTTGAATGTAATCATTATTTAAGTTTTTTTAACTGTTTTTACAATGTTTAGAGTGGCAATAATAAATTATGATATTCCTTCCTGAAACCCCGTTGTTTACACTGATGTTAAAATACTTCTTATGATTCAGTAAAACACTGCTGTAAAACACTTTGAGTTTTGTTTCAAGTTGTAGGGATGTTTTCTGGTCACAAAAAGAATGTGAAACGCGTATGTAGGTTATAACATTTTTAATATATTTTAAAGATAATTTAAGTTTACTTTACACACTTTTTAAGCATTATCGTATCGTATCATTATCGTATCTAATGAGTTATCCCATTTTTATTCAATATCGTGCAGCCCTATTGTGAACTCAGCATGTTTCCCTCAGGGTTTCCGTTGTCCGGTAATTACCGGACATTGGCCGGGAAAAAAATGAAATGTCCGACAAAATTAAATCTCTCCGGTCAAATTGGCAGATTAAAATTGCGTAATAATCCCGCCCCCCTAACACAATCTGAATTTGAGAATAAGCCTAAAATGTATAAAGCAAAAATACACCGACCTTTGGCTATATGTTATAAAGGAACAGGCTCTACCGTTTGAAAGTTATTAAACAACATCGCATGCTGCATTTCAAATAAAGCGTACACCTAGAACGGCTGTAATATAGACCTAAACAACGAACGATTGAGTGAGACGTTTCAGATATGGCCAGGTCCAGGCAGGCTAGCCTTAAAGGAACACTCCACCGTTTTTTTATTTTAAATTGGGGTTATTCACGGTCTCCCCTACATTTAGATAGGTGGGCAAATGCATTTTTGGAAGCACAGGCGAAGCACTGGGCGCAGAGATATCACGCAACACCTGAAATAAAGCTTGCCACAAATAACCGGCGAAAGTAATGATTATGCATGAAACATTTGAATTATTGATAAAGTTGATAAATTGATCAAGTTGACGATGCAGACTCGCCATCTTCGCAGTAGTGAACGCGCGCGCCTATAGAGAGAAGTGTGCACGCGCCGGCGCCTCTGGCGTGTCCTGATTATATTGTCCACTATATTTGCTTCTTATTTATTAATCCAGGCAAATTTGTTGATGAAACATTGATTAAAATTAAGATACAATTTATACAAAACGAAATTTCCAAGCAAAAATAATATCCGAAGTTCGCTGGGTTGATTATTATTCGAAAATCGCACCCCTCCACCACATGCACGCACACATGCATTAGACTACACACCAGAGCATGAGCAAAGCGGAGCGGTGTGACGCTTATTATAAGTTAAAAAACTTAAACATACGTTTCATATTTATAAATAGGCCTAATAGAATGTTATTATTTTTTTATTTCATCTATGTTGATGAGTAAGATAGGATCATAAGATGACCAATATATCGGAAAACATTTGGAATGGGTCAGATTTTGGCCACTTATTTAGTTTTGTTTTGTAGAAAGCCTTTCTTTAAAGTTTATTTCGTTTTGTATAAATTGTATCTTCATTTTAATCAATGTTTCATCAACAAATTTGCCTGGATTAATAAATAAGAAGCAAATATAGTGGACAATATGAAGTGTGCTTTTCTCTCTCTAGGCGCGTTCACTACTGCGAAGATGGCGAGTCTGCATCGTCAACTTTATCAATTTATCAACAATTCAAATGTTTCATGCATAATCATTACTTTCGCCGGTTCTTTGTGGCAAGCTTTATTTCAGGTGTTGCGCGATATATCTGCGCCCAAGTAGCAGTGCTTCGCCTGTGCTTCGCCTGTGCTTCGCCTGTGCTGCTCTATTCGCCTGTCCGCAACGGCGATAGATTGAAACGCGCGTCCGAGTGAAGATTGCGCAACTCGCGCAGCGCGTCGTCCATGCAACTGATTGCAGCGGACACGAGCGCTCAGCTTGATTCCAAAAACAACTGATTTTAGCGCTAGATCTCTTATTTATTAGCGAACTAAATGAATGATCTGCTAGTTAACTGGAGATGTTTATTTATTTGTATTAGGTACATCCGTGCCTCAATGTTTCAAAAAGTGAATGTGTGTGAAGTGAAACCACTATTTCCGTCTATATGAAAGTTAGGCTAATAATAACATGTTGCATGTTCTATACGGCCTGATTATGTCATTTTTTAAGTTACATAGCCTGCCTCCAGTTTTCCTCAACTTGACTAATTAAGAGGCGATATTTGACCGGCATATCATCAAAATGTCCGTTAAACGAAACCTCTGCCGGTCACTTTGACCAGCAACATTTTTTTCTAGCGGAAACTCTGGTTTCCCTAATATCTGTATTTGTATGCTTTAGTACAGAAAACAAAAGATATACAGCACCTTTAAGGTGAAAGGCACTACTAAAGTCGTCCACTGAAGTGTTTTGGCGGCGTGTTTAAGCACCTACCGATCTCTTTGGCCATGGCCAGGCCCTGAGGATACGTGATGGGCGTGAGTTTCTTCTCCTTCAGCTTCTCGATGGTGTCCTTATCGTCTCTCAGATCAAGCTTGGTTCCCACCAGGATGATCGGAGTGGCTGGACAGTGGTGTCTCACTTCTGGATACCACTTAACACACACGGCATTTCACATTATCACAACATCCAGCACTGGTAACAACGTCTGCTAGGTTGGTTTTACCTCGTACTCTGAAGGAGAAAGCGCTCACCTTTTCACGGACGTTCTCGAAAGAGGCAGGACTCACAAGGGAGAAGCAGATGAGAAACACGTCCTATGGGACAAAAGCATTCGGGATGTACCAATGGAGATATACAGATGTGTTCACACTATTTACAGAGCATTAAACTAACACCGTTCATATGCACGTGCTCTTTATGGTATGTGTTACTGCCAGAATTGTGCAAGACACTGACATTTGAAGTGCTGTTGCATTGAAGTGACAATGAACACTCGAAGAAACGTATGATAATATTAAAAACACACAGGAGACAAAACATGAATGCAAAATGCTATTAGTTAATCATTAAAAAATGTGTGGTTGCATACATTACCGATATAAAGTTAATGTAACAGTAAATTTAGTCATTATCTTGATTATATCTTTCCATTCTTACTGTTAATTTAAGTGGACAAAATAAAGATTTAGAGAGGACCCATTATGTTTATAACTCTTGATTTGATCTACTAGAATAGGTTTTCATGTTTCAATGTCGAAAAACACATTAATCGAAGAACGAACTGATGTGATGAACTTTGTTGTGGCCTGATTTAGTTTGAAGTGACGTCACATCAGTTAGTTCTTCAGTTAATGCGTGCTCTGCCCTCTGAGCTTGTAGAGTAATCAGGACCTCTAGCGGTCGAGTGTGGTGTTGCTGGCTGAATCAGGGAGTTAGATTTAGTAATCAAAGCACATGGTGAAGATTGTTCCAGCTGCAATAATCCTCTTATGTTTCGGTTTCTCCTTAGCAAGAACTGCCTGTAAGTGGGGATGTCCCGATCCGATCACGTGAACGATTCCTTGGACCATTTTTCCTGCCGACAAAATTCGCGCTGGCGCAACCACCACAACGTTGCGTAACATCAAATGGCAAACGTAATGAAAGCGGAACGAAACTGCGCTACTCATTATATTGTGCTTCACGGACCGTTTATCAGTTCGTACCAGCAGCATCTGTGCAGCGCGAGCCGATCTTTATCAAGCGACACTTGTTATCAATATTATGAAGCTGCAGACTCGGAGCCTGCATCTACAGTCCCCCACCGAGAGTCCCGCATTCTCAGACCCCTCGTTTTTCGAACACAGCGCCTCCTGCTGTTCGAAAGATCGTATAACACCCGCACACAGAGTATAGCGCACGCCTATCCAAATGCAATTAAAAACAATAGGATGCAATATTACGGTCTCCAAATAAATGATCCAATAAATATTTGCGTTCCCTGCTTAATGCATGGATGCTTAGTGGGAGTATGCATTAATACTTAGTGCCAAAAAAAACCTCATTGCGATGGAAGGGATACCATTACAGATTGAACTATCTTCTGAAAAATAGTATGTGATATTATATTGCTACAATGGTTTTTTTGTTTTTTTTTTTTATTCAAATTCCAATTTTTCTTTCAGTTCAACCTATAATGGTCTAATTAACATTACCATGCTAACATTACAAAATCTGTTTTTTGATATTTTGAATGCGAAGCAAAACAAGTCAGAATAGACAAAACACCAATAATAAACAATTCTGTACTTTATTTAATGATCACCTAAACATCATCTTGCTGTAAAGAAAAAAGGAAGAAAAAACTGTGTTCGTGACTTTACTTTTCGTCTTCAATTGCATTAAAAAAACTAATTTATAAGTCGCTTTGCATAATCATAAAATGATATGTTGCTGGGTTCGGCAGGGGCGACTCCATCGATGTATGGTGTACCCTGGAATAGCCTACAACAGTATAGGCCCGATAGCACATGTCTTATGATGTTTCAAAAAGAAAGAAAAAAAAAAGAAAAAAGATGTTTGCAAATGTTACCTTCATGTTGCACTGCTCTGTTGAAGTGTCCCTTGATATGTTTTTGAACTTTGGACAACTTTGTGGGTTTGAAATATATGGAGGCACAAAATGGGCAGTGAAAATCACTGCAGCATTTATGACATATCTACAAACAGTCCAAGGTTAAAGGCTAACGTTAGCTATCAAAATATTTTCGGGGGAAGAGGGCGAAAAAACATACATTAACGGCTCAAATCTTGTTGCAAACTATCTTTACAGATATTAAATGGACTATTAATATGTTGTATCGATGTTGTAGCCCAACACGGTAACGGACCCCTGCCTGCCCCCGACCAACGAGTACGGTTAAACCTTCGCCGCAGTACCCGAGTCGCCACATGGAATGTCCAGACACTTCTTCGCCCCGGAGCTGCCACCCTGCTGTCCAGAGAGCTCTGCCGCTATAACATCACCTTGGCAGGGCTCTGTGAAGTTCGATGGCACGGCAATGGCGAAACAACAGCAGGCGACCATTGCTATTTCTGGAGTGGCCCCGAGAGACGGACAGGCCTTTATGGCGTGGCACTTGCCATCCCAAAGGCCCTCCGCAAATCCCTCATCAACTGGACACCCCTGAGCGACAGATTACTGTCAGCCCGCTTTCTCCACCAACATGGCAAGATGACAGTAATCGTTGCTTATGCCCCCACCGATGTCGCTGATGAGGATGCAAAGGACGCCTTCTTTGACCAACTCCATCAGGCTGTTGGCCAAGCCTCACCACATGACATCACCATCATCCTCACCGATGCCAACGCCTCTCTGTCTAGCAGTGATCGGTCCACAGGCTCACCTGTCGGCACAACCTTTGCTGACAGGTCCACAAACGACAATGGTAACCGCCATTGGGCGGTTCTCCTTCTCTGCCATCACAACAACCTTTGCGTTGCTGATACCTGGTTTCCTCGGAAGCTTATCCATCACTGGACATGGTACAGCCCAGATGGCAGAACCAGGAAAGCGCTGGACCATATCCTCATCTCTCGACGCTGGAAGCCGTTTGTCACCAACTGCCGCGTGTACCGAGGAGCAGAGCTTAGCAACACAGACCATCGCTTGCTGGTGGCCCAGCTCAAAGCTGCGAGCCAACCAGCACACTAAGACTCAGCCTCGCCTCGACTCCTCCCTACTCAGTGATCCACACATCGCCACAGAATTCAGTTGCGCCATCCGCCGCACCTTTGATAACCTGACTATTGACAAGGTGAACGACTGGCAGACCTTCAAGGAAAGTGTCATCCAGTCAGCTCACAATGTCTTCGGATGCTTTCGACCTTCCCCGAAAAAGCCTTGGATATCGGAGAGGACACTCCACATCATTGACCGGCGGCGTGAGGCCCGGCTCCGAGGCGACATGGCGGAGTATCAGCGACTGAACCGCCAGCGCAATGTGGCTATAGCCGAGGATAGGGAGAAGTTCTGGCAAGCAGAAGCTAAACACCTAGAGTCCGCGGCCAATAACAACAATATGAGCCGGGTCTTCAGTCTGCTGCGCCAAGCCCGTAATGGTCCACGCATCAAGACAGCCCTGGTGAAAGATTCCGATGGCAACCTTATAGCAACTGAAGCAAACTGCCTCGAACGCTGGAAAGAGCACTTCAGCCTCCTTCTGCAGCACGGTACCTCCCCAGCCGATACCACCATCTCATCGGCCGCAAATGCTGCAGTCCTTAGTGCTGTCTGCAGTACTGACCCTGTCACACCTGAGGAAGTCAGAGCCGCTCTGGAAAAACTTAACAACAGGAAAGCCCCCGGCATCTGTGCAATAACCGCTGAGATGCTAAAATCCGGCGGTGAAACCATCATCGAGTGGCTTACCCACATATTCAATGAGGTGTGGGAGACAGAGAGGCTTCCCAGCGACTGGACCAGAGGAGTCATTTTGCCCTTCTGGAAACGTAAGGGCGACAGGTTAGTCTGCGGCAACCACAGAGGCATTACCCTTCTCTCCATCCCCGGCAAGCTCTTTACCAGGATCTTGCTCACTCGTGCTCTCCCAGCCATCAGAAGCAGCCGCCGTCCCCAGCAGGCTGGCTTCATGCCTAACCGCTCCACAACAGACCAAATCTCCGCCGTTCGCTTGCTGATAGAGAAGACCTATGAATTCCGTAAAGATCGCCATCTTTACATCGGGTTCTTAGATCTGAAGGCTGCCTTTGACACCGTTTGCCACACTTCACTGTGGAGTATCCTACACGCCCTTGGAGCACCACCCAAAATCGTTGCCCTGTTCAAGCTGCTTTATAGCAACGCTCAGAGCTGTGTCCGCATCAATGGCAAAGACTCAGACTGGTTTTCCATCTCCAGTGGCGTTCGCCAGGGCTGCGTGGCTGCTCCTGACCTCTTCAACTGCATCATTGACCATCTGATGTCTAGGGTGTGTGAGCGGGTCCCCAGAGTGTCCTTCGGCAGTTACCACCTGACTGACCTGGAGTATGCTGACGACACCATCCTGCTCAGCACGTCCTACAACCAGCTGAGAGATGCTCTGGGCATATACAGTGAAGAGGCTGAGAAGCTTGGCCTTCAGGTGAGCTGGACAAAAACCAAGTTCATGTATGTCGGTGACGGACCTCATCCAACTTCCCTGCGGCTTGGCAATCACATTGTAGAGCCTGTCAAGAGCTTTGTGTATCTGGGATCCTTAGTGACAGACAACGGGGAGCTAAAACCAGAGATTACCCGCAGAAGAGCCCTGGCTGCGTCAGCCCTGCAGTCTCTCTGGAAACCACTCTGGCGGCATCAGACCATCTCACGCAAGACGAAGCTCCGGATTTACAACTCGGCAGTACTCTCCATCCTGCTTTATGGCTCGGAGACTTGGCCCTTAAATAAGACACTGACTGCGAGATTAGATGGCTTTGATAGCAGGGCCCTCAGGACCATCGAGAACATCAGGTGGCCCCAGCGGGTTTCCAATCAAGTGCTTAGAGCCCGCACGTGCCAGCCCAGAGCATCCTGCCTGGCTGCGCAACGTCGCACCCGCTGGCTCGGCCATGTCCTCCGTCTCCCTCCTGACCATCCGACGAGAGCCATTCTCCAGTTTGATCCGAGGCCCGCAGGCTGGAGACGACCACGAGGTAAACCCCGCACCCGATGGCTCGACGTCCTTGCGAGCGACCTCCAACAACATGGAGTTGCTGTGGAGGATGCAGAGCAGCTGGCACAAGACCGTCAGCACTGGAAACAACTGGTTCATCTGGTCGGCTTAACGCACAGGGATGGGACGCCCCCCCACCCATAGCAGGAGCCAAAATGAATCGATGAGCTAAATTAGTTTTATTAAAATATAAATCAAACGAGTAGGCTACTACGATTCGCTAAATAAAATTGAAGATAGCCTACTCACGTTTTGGCTTAAGTTCTTCACATGTTCTTCACATGTTTATCCGATACAATTTGATAGGAGGCGCTGTCTCGAAAAACGAGGGGTCTGAGAATGCGGGACTCTGGGTGCAGGGGGACTGTAGATGCAGGTCTCCGAGTCTGCAGCTTCATACTACTCCTTGTTATACACAGCGCTAAAAGATCCAGTGAAGAAAACATTTGAATTCGCCACTGAAGTAATAACATGCGAGATGTAGTGAGAAGCATTCACATTTCTCTGTTATTAACCGTGCATCTCTGTTAGATCAAACAGCGCTGACGTGGAAACCAGGAGAAACATTGTGCCGTGAATGATCTAGTTATAGACTTTAGTCAACAGATCAGCAACATTCACCATGGATTTAATGTAGTAACACTAACTGTAACCATGGAAGTTTGGCTGGAATAGTGAAATGCTTTCAAGTACTTCACACATCTTTTTCCAGCACTTCAAAACTCAAATATTATATAAATATATATTTAAATGTTATTTTTAATGTGATGACCATTTATAAACCTGAAAGTTTCAAGATGTAGGAAAACTCAAACTTATTTAAAAATATTTTTTCTTTTAATAAATAGGACATTTCTCTGGCATTTCTTTCTTTTTGCTGTATCGAAAACGTACCGAACTGTGACACCACTGTATCGCATCGAACCGAACCATTAATTTTGTGAACCGTTACACCCCTAATGTATATATATATATATTCTCTTTTTTTTTTTTATACACTTTTTTTTTATTTGTTTACGTGTCTGGCCTGCCGGGTATTTTAAGTTGAGGTGGTATTTGTTTTTATATTAGACTTTTTTATATTGACTGTTGCACTAAAGTCCAAAAGTGAAGAATTTATGTTATTTATTACTTCATGTTCAAGCTACCTCACAGAAGTGCCCTGTTTGTTAACAGAGTTGTTGAATGTTAAAATACGGTGAATTAAATAAAAAAATAAGGAACATCCTGGATATGTTTTTTCGCTCTTCTTTTTTTTTTTTTTTTATGTATTATAGAAGTATCGGATCTGGATTCGGTATCGGCAGATACTCAAAATCAAATGACTGACTAATGACTAATTTCTTACGCATCTAATACCATGCATCCGTTGCTAATTTTATTCTTGTTATGAATTGTATCCTATTTTTCGTTATTAGTCAACTACGCGCAGTGATATGGAAACTGTAATGCGGTCAAACCTGCCGGAACTACTTTAGCCGTGCGTTTCCCTGAAAATAATTGCACACCTTCGAACATTCGTCAACCAATCAGATTCAAGTATTTAACGGCCCTGTAGTTTAAAAGTGTCTAAGCAATTGTGAAAAACTGTATAAGTCGTGAGCTGTGTGATCGTACCGTTTGAGGGTAGGACAGGGGGCGGAGCCTGTCGAAATCCTCCTGTCCTTCTGTATCCCACAGACCCAGATCCACTGGCGTCCCGTCCACCATCACATTCGCAGAACGATGATCACATCTGTCAATTAAAAGGCAATGCAATTCTGAGTATTAGGATGTTATCAGTGATCACCAGGTTAAAAAGCTGACTGTAAACAAATGCAGAACCTAAACAAGACAGGAGGTTTTTCAGCTTTACAAAACTCACAGTACAAAAACATTTTTCAACCCAGTGCTTTATTTACATGCTCACATTAAAATACTTTATTGCACATCTCTCTGGAATACCCCATTTTGAACGGTCGGATCACAGCTGCTCTAAGACATGTACACTGAACAAAATGATAAACACAACACTTTTGTTTTGGCCCCAATTTTTCATGAGCCAACCTCAAATATCTAAGACTTTTTCTATGTACACAAAAGGCCTATTACTCTCAAATATTGTCCACAAATCTGTCTAAATCTGTGTTAGTGAGCACTTCTCCTTTGCCGAGATCCATCCACCTCACAGGTGTGGCATATCAAGATAAACAGCATGATTATTGCACAGGTGTGCCTTAGGCTGTCCACAATAAAAGGCCACTCTAATTCTATAATGTTCGAACACATATTTCAGTATATTGCCCGCTAAACTGGATATTTCCTGTTGCCCATGGAAACTATTTTCATGTCTCTGGTATCTGGTATCACATGTGGTTTCTCTCTCTTTCATGCCAACGCATGATAGAACAGCCCACTTAAAAAAGCCCCATCTTGTGATTTAAAAGGTTTCCTGATTGAGTCTCGGAGGACTTTAGCATTTTACTTATGGAGGGCATTTTACCAGTTAGAGCCGCATGATTAACTGTTAAAAGATCACAATCTTAAACCTTTGACTAGTGCGATCACAGCCAACATTCAAGTTTGCTGCCGCTGACCCAGAGAGCAGTTGCCATGTATAGGTATGAAACAGCTTAAACAGTCTGTGTGTGTGTGTGTGTGTGTGTGTGTGTGTGTGTGTGTGTGTGTGTGTGTGTGTGTGAGTGTGTGTGTGAGAGTGTGTGTGTGAGAGAGAGAGAGAGAGAGAGAGAGAGCTTAAACAGTCTTTTCAACCACACAGTTATTATTTCTGTTATACAATAATTCATATTTCCAGATAAGTAGTTTTTGGATATAAACACTGATGTCTACGGTAGCAAAACGAAACGCTTCAAATAAAGATTGGATCAATGACATCGTTACACCAGTAGGTGGCGACGAGTGACTGTTAAAGAAATACAATCGAATCATTTATTCAAGAGATTAGTTTAAAAACGCAGATTTATCCAGCAATGAAGTGAAGTATTTGAGTGAGTCATTGAATCATTCCAAAGATGTGTTTTAATTATTCAAATTAATTAAATGTTGTTGTTTTTTTAAATAGACCGCAGAAAGTAAAATTGTGTCAGAACCTCTAGTAAAGTGCATGTTATTTTGTTCAGAATAGTGGGAGAATCGTGATCTCGGTTTTAAACAAAACAAAACATCGTGATGCTCAATTTTAACCAGAATCATGCAGCTCTAATAGATGATTAGAAGTACAGGAATCCAAGTATAATAATATAATATCACTATATTAAAGGTGCTCTAAGAGAGCGTTTTTTAGGCCAAAACATTTTTTGTCACATACAGCAAACATCTCCTCACTATCCGCTGGCTGCCTGTCCCCTGAACACACTGTAAAGAAACGCGATCTCTGTAGACAGCCCAGGCTCCACACATAGCAACAAAAACAAGCTGGGCTAACCCGCTCCACGAAACATGACAAACAGTTCCAGCCAATCACAGACAAGAAGGACTTGGGGGCGGGGTTTGGGGGGTTAGTGCGCGGATGAGGAGGAGGGAGGGTCAAGCTAGCCTCCGTTTTGTTTGACAATACTTTAAACGTCAACAAGAAGTGACGTCACCAGACATCGCTTAGAGAACCTTTAATATAATACTCAAAGTAAGAAAAACAACACCAACAAAAGCATTGCTTGGCTGAACAAGGAACCAGGGACACAAAGATCGAATTTAAAAAAGGAAGGAGGCCGAGGACAGGTTACATTGCAGCTAACTATTCCAATATTGACTGAAGATTAAAATAATATGATATTTAGATTAATACTGTAACATTGCACCTTGTTTCTAGGCCGACTGTTTTCTATCCTAAAATGGACACTTTTTCTTGGAGGAATCTTTAAGCTAATCTAGAAGTAACGAAATGATTTCTATGTTTATATAGGTGTGTGTGTGTATGTGTGTGTGTGGGATATTTGAGCACACTCACACTCTGATGATGTATTCTCCAGGAAAGGCATTGGTGGTGTAACTGATCAGCAGACATGTTTTACCCACAGCTCTGGAATAAGGAAGAACACAGGTAAAGTGAATGACGGTAAACACAAGGCATCGTGACACAGTAACAGTAACAGGTTGAAAAACTAGTCTGTGGACAGAGTCATCAAGATCAAAAGCATTCTCATATATGACTAATCGCTGTAGGGCTGAAATCTCATTTTGTGCCGTTCACTTCCTCATAAAACATTTGTGCATTTGTGCAACCCTTTTAAAATGCAACAAAAAAAGCTGTACACATTAAATTTAAACAAACAAATGTCCTCCACACATAATGCCTCAATTCATTTTATTCTTTCTAAAATGAATACATGGAATTAATCTATTAACTAGGAGAAAAAAAACAGTTGGTAACACTATTTTAATGTATCCTTGTTACACGTTACATGCATTTACTATCGTAATAACTATAAATTATGCATAATTACATGCAACTAAACCAAACCCTAACTAGGGTTGGGAATCGAGAATCCATTCCAATCCTGGAATCGAATACTTGAGGGCAGGAATCAGATACTTGTTATAAAATAATTGTAATTCCTCTTATTGATTCCTCCTTTGTGAGCATTTCATTGTGACTATAAGGCAGTCAAGCGTGAGGCGACCGCAGGCGTGTGTATCAGTGTACTGGACCCGTGCGGCTCTTAAAGGGACAGCACTGATACTCCTGATGTGTCTCTATAGTAACACTGATCACACAACACAGCACAGGGAAAATGTGCTCGTAACTTTTGTAACTATATATGTAATGTATAATTAATTTATAAAGTGCAGTGTTATTTTACATTTGATTAGTTTCTGTGCCTGAATCTTAAAACACTGTTTATTTCAGTCGTATCTTTTTGTTGCGTTTATTTGTTCTTTTTTAATTACTGAGTGTTTACTTGTGTTTAATAATGCTTGACGTGTACATTAGTTCGGCTAGTTGTTTTTCTATGGTGTTTATAAACCACAGGCAAACGCTCTTTGTGTAAGACTAAATGTGAATGATATCTAAGTTTTTATTTATTTTTACCTTATTGGAATCGAAATTAGAAATAAATAAGAATCGGAATCCCTATCCTAACCGTTAGAGTTAGTCCATGAAGTAAATTAATTTATAAAACGGTTAGTTCCAATCCTTGATTCTGATTGGTCAATAGCTGTGCTTTATTCACGATAAAACACGGCTATGACCGCTTCACCCAACGGTTCTATGTATCACTACACAACACCCCTAGCAACCACTCTTAGCAACTTAAACAGATGTTTCATCTCATTGATATTGTTCATTTAAAGCTAGAGCAGAGCATTGTGAGAGATCGAGTAAGCGAGTGTACCTGCATTTACAGTAGACGTAGCATTTTCCTTCAGGTCAGTCCTATATTCATAATAAAAAAATGCGTTTGAATGTCCGCTGCATATTTTGTCCTTTTAACAGTCATGGGGTTTTCCGTGCATAACGTTAGTCATCTGTCAGTTGCGTCTGTCTTCTCCGTGATCACAAGTTCGAGTCCTTTCAAAAGCCTTCTCTACAGACTCACTCACTCACTCACTCATAAAGACAGTCTTTGCCGCCATCTATTGGCGAAATAATATATGTAACTTCTGTTGCTGTTCACGTTCCGGGACTATTTTTTCCAGCGGAAGGCAGGCTTTTAGTGATTTTACTTCATGAAAGTTGCATAGATACATATTTTTCGGCTTTAATATTTTTTATTGTGTGGCAACCGTTTTATAAAAGCAATAAGGTACTCGAGGCAAGTGCTGTATCGTGAATAAGTAACGGCTGAAGGGGTTGCAGGCACTCCGCTTCGCGTCGTGCCTAACAACGCCCTCCAGCCGTTACTTATTCACGATACAGCACAGCCTCTCGTACCTTATTGCTTACTTAATGTTGGGGAACTAAACTACGATCACACTGACGTTTACAGGAAGTAGAAGTTGACAACATCCGGTCGCGAGCGCATCTTGAGCATAGATTGGCCCTGTCCCAAATGGAACCCTTAGCACTCGCGGTCTTCCTCTGAGTCCGCACTTTCGCGACGTAACGCCGCTTTGAATGTCGGGAAGAAGTCTGCTGTGGAGTCCGCATCAGCGCGGGCTCGGCAAAAGTGCGCATCAAGGGCGCAAATCGACCGCAGAGGGGGCGCTCGCGAGCACCCTTCTGAGATCTAAAAATGACAAATGGGACACACTGCGGTCTCACGGACTTAACGGACACGCGCACGCGGCAGCCATTGTAAGTCCACAAGACCGAAAGTGCATATGAAGTGTGCCATTTGGGACAGGGCCTAACAGCTTTGGTAACAGCAGGGTGTAGGATGATGATGATGATGATTTCAGCTAATGTGAGATGAGTATGGAACGCGATGGGGGCCAAAAGTCTTTAAACGAAACGCGTGAAATTTGACCGCGTAAACACGCACTGTTTGTCCGCGTTAACGCTGCAATTTTGTACGTGTTTCTTTTGAACGTGTATACACGCACGCACATTCTGGTCGTGTTAAAGCCCAATTTATACTTCTGCGTCGAACTCACGCCGTAGCTACGTCGTAGGCTGTGTGTAGAACGCGTACCCTTCGCCGTACCCTGACGTGCACCTCTCCAAAAATGTAACAACGCCTCAATACTACGCGTACCACAAGCACTGTGATTGGTCTGCTAGAACCGCTCCCCGGGTTTCACATGCTCCCTCTGCATGTGTAATTGCGCGTCAACGCGGACAACGACGCAGAAGTATAAA